AGGAATGCCTTGGAGGCTGGAGGTATGATTTCCCAGGGCGTACATACAGCATTGCTATTGCCAATCATTGCTAATTTGTGCCCACTTATTACAGAGCGTTACTTATTCTAAAATATATCTCAGCCATAAAATAATTTGCATTTTAAAAAGCAGCCTAAATCCTTATTCCCTGTGAGACCAGACAGCTCCTTTGCAAGCAGCTTCCAGACTCCTTAGGAAATAATCATGAGGCCAATCATAATAATAGGTTTTTCTGTCTTTCCATCCTTTGCCTTTCTCTTTCTGGTGCAGAGGTACCTGTGTGACAGCTGGGACAGACCCACCTTGGTTATCAAACTCTGGGCTAGGAGGACCACGACATGCACCCCTGAGACAAACTCTCCTTTGAGCAACAGAAACCCACAGCCAAGCTCAGCAGATCCAGATCGACTTCCTATGCTGTGGTCAGACCCATTCCTCCAGACCCAAAGGTCTCCTGGGGAAGGGCTGGAGCTGGTTCTGATGCACAGCAGAGGCAAACTCTGGGATTCCCCCTCAGAGACAGGCAGCCTGACCACAGTGATGGCAGCATCCAACTCCCAGAGCTGGGAAGAGGGTAAACAAACACTGCACGTGACTGGGGCTGGCTGGCGTCGCTGCCCTGGCAATCCTCCCAGGAATTACAGCATCCCACATGCTCCTGCCCCCACGCTCTCCCCACAAATCCCCGCACTGCTGCTGGTCCTATTGGGTGTTTTGTTGCAGATACTGCTGCTACAATGTCACTCGGGCAGCAGGAGGTAAAGAGACAGACTAACAGATCAGCATTCCCTAGTTTCAGGCACAATTTGTAACACAGCAGAATTTATTCTCTTGGTTTCACTGATGGAAATCTGGAGTAGTTCCCACTGGCTTGAGCTGGTCTGTATTCTGCTCTTCATTACAGTGGTCTGGGTTTGGTTAAATGGTGCTAAATGAGAACAAAACAGGGTTCTAGTAAGGTCAAAATATATCTTGCCCTCTTTCAGAGAAGAAAGGTGAAGAGGCACGTATGTGCATGGGAGAGGAAAGCACAGGAGGACACATCTCCCCTAGGCTGTGCCCCTTTACATTCAGGTAGCTGTACTCATAACTTTTACCATTCTTTTACCTGGTAGTTGCACTCTGGGTCAAGGCAGTGGTAATGTTCTCTATACTGGTATGCACAGTGTATATGTCCACAGTGCTGACTGCCAGAGAACCTGCAAACACAAGAGGAGGACAGAAGAGAGAGAATTAAACAGTGTTCCAACAGTAGTGCCTGCAAGCAGGGTGCAGATAAACTAAGTCCTGTTCCTGCTTTCATCCCACATGCTTATGGCATTAAACCCCATCTCCTTTATCCCCTCCAAGGACGGTGACCCTCCCGCCTCCCTTTGCTTGTTTGTCACTATTTAAAGGTGTGTCTTGAGCAGGATCATTCAGGTCTTGTGCATCCCTAATCTGCCTGTATTTCCCTTTGCAATTCATCTCTGTTACCTAACTTGCTTACTGGGGGAAGAGTAAGAAAGGAGGGTTCCTTGAATTAAATATCAAACAATTCTAGAATTCTCATGTGTGAGATCAGACACTGCAGCAGTGAGTTTCAGAAATATCCCATGCCAGGAGACAAATAAATGTTGGTCAAACACAGATTCTAAATTTTAGGTATATGCCCACCTAGCAGGACCTCAGAAAAGCTCAGGCATTTGTTGGCTTGTATGAGTTGTCTCGAGACTGTTTTTTACTGCAGCATGGTGTCAGAGTAGAGGAGGTTGCAGAGCAGTGGGCCAGACCCTACACCACACTGATAGCAGGTGACCACAGCAAGGTGACACAGGAACTTCCCATCAGGTGGATGGGTCAGTGCCCAGACAGGTGAGATGGATCATCAGGAACAGAACGAAGCAGACCACCTCACCCCTGTGTGCACACCTCCTCCCACGTGTGACACCCCTGCTAACTGTCATTTTCTGTGTGCACACAGCTGCTCACAAACCAAGCAGCACAATGCAGAAGAACAGGGGTTCCAGCCTGCCTTTGCAATGAGAAGTAAGACACAAGAAGCAAAGGCCAACAACAGGCACCCAATCCATTTCTGCAGCACTCCACACAGCAAATGTGGAAACTCCTGACACAGAGAGGGGAAAAAACCCAGAAAGGCAGAAATGCCATAGAAGAGCTACATGCACACAGGCAGTACACAGAACATCCTGACTGACAGACACATCAGGAACTGGTAAACAGGACGATCCAGTAAGAGCCTAAGCAGTGCAGTGAACTCTCTGATGTATATTCTAGAGGACCCTGAAAGAGCTGAAGAGCTTGAAAGGGAAAAGCAGTGCAGAGAAGGGGACTCAGAGGGGAAACATTCAAAGATAAAGTACCATCTGCTCAAAGGTTCCTCAAAGGTTCCTCACGTCACTTAGTGCTAAACACAGCAGGAGTGCATATGATAAAGGGCATGGGAAAGAAACAAGGGTAAAAAGGAAAAATGAGAGGAGTGAGTGTGTCCTGGGGCAATCAGGGAATGGGGCAGGAGCAGGGAAGATTCTGGATCACCAGAAGCTACAGGACAGAAAAACTCAGGCTGAAAAGCAGTACTAAATAAGGCATTTCTGAAGCACAGTAAGGAAGAGGAGGTCAACTGTGGAGACAGCAGGGCCTCTAGGAGATGGAAAGGGGACTTAATTGACAGAAAAGATAGACATTGCTAAAAAATTAAATGACTTCTTTTCCTCAGCATTCACAAAGGGAGACAGGGACAGATGCCAGGAGCAGACATGCCTTTCCCTGGGGAAGGAGAAGAAATACTGCAGGAAATCAGGATCACGTCAGAACAGGTGATTGAGAAACTGGAACAAACCTCAGCAGCAGAGAAGAAACAAACCACAAGGCAAACAGCAAGGCTGGCTGCACAAACAAAGGTGTGGAGCTGAAAGCAGAGGAAGAGATTCCTGCTCAAGGCCTGGGCAGCTGCGAGGCAGGCAGAGGGCTCAGGCAGCAGCCTGAGTCACTGGCATTAGCCAGCCACAGGCAGCTGGGCACCAGATAGAGCCAACTGGTCCTGTCGTCCAGGCCTTTGTCAGCAGCACCATCAGCAGCTCGAAAGGAAAGAAACTGCTCCGTGGAAAGCTTCCTCCCCATTCTGCAGATGAGATGGGGAGGAGAGAGCAAAGGGCTGTGTGGGGCTGGAGAACTGTGGAGGGCAGGCCAGGCAGAGAGAGGAGGAAGATAGTGACCTTGCTGACAAGTAGACACCTTTGAAGCAAAGCAGTCCAAAGTATTATCAGAAGTGAGGATGCAGAATGACCAGAGAAGCCAACTGCACTGGAAGAAAGGTCAGAGACCAAAGAGAACTGGCTGTAAGGGATGAGTTACTAGAAGCATCCTAGCAAGAACAACTCATGGGCTCAGCTTTAAAAGCAGCAGCTAACCAAGCAGTGTAGCACTTGAGACTCCTACCCTCCCTCCACGTGCCACAGCAAGGGGTGTGTGGTGTCTGCAGTGCAGGAAGGGAGAGGCAAGGCTGCCACCAGCCGTGTGCCTGGCCAGGGAGCCCAGCGGCGACCAGCACACGGGGAAATTCTGCTCTTCCAGCCTGCCAGGTTAGACTCCTAAAGGGTTATATTTATCCCCTGTTTCTTCTGACACTTGAAACAGTTCAAAGCTATTAATTTTTAAAGCACAGCATCTGTTTAGCTTTTTCATAACAGGAAAGCTTACACACCACACACTTACACGCATACACACGCGCACATTTACATCCACCTACATCCACACCCCTCTTCATTTACATGATTGTACCCACAATTTCCGTGCACACGACAGACACAAACACACACCTGAAACAAGCAAACTCACAGACCATTTTATCACACTGAGAGGCAAATCCAAACTCTAAAATTGTCCATTCAGGCACATAGGTTCATTTTCACATGAACAACCCCCTCCCTGTTCCCTTCTTCCCTTCAGTTCACTTTTGTTTTGTTTTGGTTGCGTTTTTTTTTTGGCCATAAAGAACTAGTCTTGATCTGGCAAGAG